TTTTTTTTTTTTTTTTTTTTTTTTTTTTTTTTTTTTTTTTTTTTTTTTTTTTTTTTAATATAAACTCTCCCATGGGGATCGTGCTGAAGTTACTGTGTGTTTTAGAGTATATTTATCTAGAACCCGTGAGAAAGCTCGGGGATTTGTCAGTCGGCTCATTTGCTTATTGCGTGGTACAATATCAGTATTACAATAATAAAACAATATCAATATTCACAAACGATGCATATTGATCGTTGCATATTCACAGATCGGGCCGGTGCAAGATAACAGCTCGAGCTCCTCAGGGACGTCTGACTGGTGTCCGGTTGCTTGGAGAGAGTGGGGATTGGCTGTATAGTGATGTATTCTACTGCACTAAAGCATAGCTGCAGCCATAATGTGGATTAGGAGATGTAGAAATAATTGATTTTACATTTTAAATCCTGTGTGTGGAGAAAGTAAAGTGGGGAGGGTAATGTGCCCGAGTGTCTTGATCTTTTTTTTTTTTCCCTTTTCCCTGCACTTGTTGGATGAACTGTGTGCCACTTTCTATCCTGATCATGTCATCGTGCGTGTGTGTCATGCATTTTAGGAAGAACAGGTCACTGAAGTGAGTCATTGGCTTCATCCCAGCTGACCTTCAAATCCTGTCCTAGTGCCCTGTTAGTAACATACTTGGCATGGTACTTGAGACATGTTCTGCAGCTGTTTGATTTCCAGGCTCTGAGTGAAGCGTTTTGTAATTGCAGGGAAAATGGTTTACGTTCTTGGATTTATATTGAGATGATGCTTGGTATTGATTTTCAGCAGAGGTATAGCAATGGTAGTGGCTTTAAAGGAATCTGTAGCATTTGTACATATTCCTTTTAATGCTGAGGTACTAATACTTTTGGAAATAGCCATATGTGTAAAGGTGCAGTAGCACAATTTCTGCTTCCAATATCTACTTGTACCAGCAGTCATCAACTGGCAGACCCAGCAAAGTATTTAAGTAACCTGAACTGAGTACTTGAAAAAGTACTATAGCAAAGCTGATACACGTATTAAAAAAAAAAAAACACATTTGATGCAGCCAGTTACATGCGTTTGTGTAACTACAGACATTAGCGCCGAAAGCAGAGAATTCTCGCAGATTTTTTAAACAATTTTATTTACCCTCTCTGGTCTGATTAGTGACCTGACGACATGACTCGATGAAAACCGAATGGACAGAAAAGTATACATTTGTCTCTCCCATGGTAAATTGAAAACACACGTCTCATCTGTTTGTGTTCACTTGAGAAAAGTGCTGTCTTGAAGCACCACTATGAAACAAAGCACAACCACTTTAAATTGTCTCACACCGTTAATGGTTTAGCATTAAACAGTTACAGCTGTTAGTTGCTTATCCAGAGCCTTGATAAGAGGAATTTCACTTAACTGGACCTTCGCAAATTTTACCTGAATACCCCAAACCTAATAGCGGTATTGCAGTATGGAGTCGTACTTTACCCTTGTCACCACTGTTCCTGAGTGATTCTCTTATGCATATTACAGGTACCACAGTCTTACAGGTTTAAATGCTTGATTATAATTTGCAGTAGACTGGAAATGCTGCCCTGCTCTGCTTTGCACTCCTGACAGAGATGTAGTGCAGGCAGACTCTGCACGTGGTTTGGAATAATGCAGAAATCCCACTGATCTTTATTACGGCTCAATCAGCTTCCTCTGATACAGCGTTCGTTGCCGGCTGGCGCAGGTCGTCAGCAGATCAGCGAGCTCTTTCAGCTCTAATGGAGAAACGACTGCCAGAGCTGTTGCCTTCGATCAGTGCATCTAAACATTTCACATTTCCACTGGAAAAGCATTTCCTTATAAAACTGACCAGGGGACGTGAAGTGAAGTGACGTGTAGCCAAGTATGGTAAAATACGGAATTTGTGCTCTGCATTTAACCCATCCAAGAGCATGCACACACACAGTAGTGAACACACACCCGGAGCAGTGGGCAGCCTTTTTTGCTGCGGTGCCCGGGGAGCAGTTGGGGGTTCTGTGCCTTGCTCAAGGGTCTTACCTCAGTCGTGGAATTGAGGGTGGAGGAGAGCGCTGGTCATTCACTCCCTCCACCTACAATCCCTGCCGGACCCGAGACTCGAACCCACGACCTTCAGGTTTACCTTCGAGTTACAAGTCCCACGCTCTAACCATTAGGCCACAACTGCCCCCTATTTCAGAATGCGCTCTATGGGCGTGGTCAGATATGCTAATTGCCAAATACAGGCCCCGCCTTGTTTTTACAGCTTACTAATCAGCATTGTAGCTTTAAGCCAGGTTTCACAGGTAGATCCAACTTGGATTTCCAAAGTCCACATCGAACCTGCCTGTGATAAATGTATGCATGTTATGTGATTGTTAACTAGTAGCGTTACGTAGAGGACAAACCCTCGCAATCTTCAGATGTCAGTTTTGGTGAGCCTATGTCCTCAGTTTCCTGTTCTTGGCTTAGAAGAGTGGATCCTAATACAGGTCTTGTGCTGTTGTAGCTCATCCACCTCAAGGTTTGGCATGATGTTTGTTCTGAGATGCTTTTCTGCTCACCACGGTTGTAAAGAGTGGCTGTTGGAGTTACCATAACCTTCCTGTCGGTTCGAACCAGTCTGGCCATTCTCCTCTATCTCATTAACAAGGTATTTCTGCCAGCAGAACTGCCACTCAGTGGATGTTGTTTGTTCTTTGCACCCTTCTGTGATGGTGTATAAAAGTGTATATAAGACTGAACCTACACTGAGTCCTTTGAGTAGCTCATGCACCTCTCTGGACAGCGATTAGCCCATTGCTTAGCTGCAAGCAGACATGCCCTAGCAACAGATGTCAGATTGGACACACATGGCTTAGAGTGACATCATTTGCATGAAATTGTGCTTCAGAAAGCCAATAAAATGGTTATATGACGCCCCTGATGTATTTTATTAGGTAAGCAATATGATGCTAATTTCAGGCCCTGATACATGGCTGTGTGTGAAAGAGACAGATGTAGGGAGGTGTGTGTGTGTGTGTGTGTGTGTGTGTGTGTGTGTGTTTTCTGAAAATGACACTTGAGCAGATGATAATGATATGGTAACAGAGAAACATATTGAGCTCACATATGGTAGTAGGTAGTGAGTGTTGCACCACCTGAACTCCTCTTTAGTGTATTAGAGAGAGATCAACATTACCAGACCTTAAAAGAGTCTCCAGCTGTCTTAAATCACATGCTTATACACTCTTAGACTATTTTTTAGTGGATAAAAATGTCTAGCATGTTCACACTTGGAAATAGTAAAATCCACCGTGAGGATGAACTGTATTTATGAGAAAATGAAGTGTGGAGCAGTGGATGCTTTTAGCATCAACCTGATCCAGTGTACACAACAAAGGAGCAGCAGTATGTAGCATTAAATTCTTCTGCACCTTAAAGCTAAAATGAAAATCGGTAATGAACTCAGGATGCACGATCCTCCGATACAAAAAAAAAAAAAAAATCATGGGATACTTGAAGACATTTCTACAATACGTGATGTGTATTATAATATACACTCACTATACACTTTATTAGGAATACTAAGGAGTACACCTGAACATTCATGCAGTCAGCCAATCACGTGACAGCAGCACAGAGCGCATAAAATCATACAGGTACAGGTCAAGAGCGTCAGTTAATGTTCACATCAAACATCAAAATAGGGAAAAATGTGATCTCTGTGACTGCGACATGGTCGTTGGTGCCAGATGGGCTGGTTCGAGTATTTCAGAAACTGCTGATCTCCTGAGATTTTCACACACAACAGTTTTCAGAGTTTGCACACACAGAATGGTGTGAAAAAACACTCCTTACAACCATGGTAAGCAGAAAAGCATCTCAGGAAGTACGACACGTTGAACCTTGGGCTGCAAAAGAAACAGTACAGATTAAAAATGGGGAAAAAAGACCAGACGATCTTCACCTGTCCGGTTACAGTGACCCTGTGCCCACTGTACCATCAGATTCCTGTTCTCTGCTGAGACGAGTGGCACCCAGTGTGATTTCTGCTTTTCGTTGCCCACTGATATGTTGTACGTTCTGAGATGCTTTTCTGCTCACCACGGCTGTAAAGAGTGGTTATTTGGGGCAATGTAGCCTTCCTGTCCACTTGAAACAGTCTGCCCATTCTTCTCTGACCTCTCTCATCAGCAAGGTGTTTTCTCCCACAGAGCTGAGCTCACTGGATGTTTTTTTTTTTTTTGTTTTGTTTTTTGCACTATTCTGTATAAACTCTGAAGACTGTCATGTGAAAAATTCCAGGAGATCAGCAGTTTCTGAAATACTCGAACCAGCCCATCTGACACCAACGACCATCCCACGGTCAAAGTCACTGAGATCACTTTTTTCCCCCACCCATTCTAATGTTTGACGTGAACTTTAACTAAAAGCTGTTGACCTGTTTTTGCATGATTTTATGCATTGCTCCGATGCCACATGATTGGCTGCTTAGATAACTGCCTGAATGAGCAGGTGTTCCTATTAAAGTGGCTGGTGAATGTATAGAATTGCTAAGAAACGTCCAGGAAAATGATCATGTTGCATAAAAAAAACAACAGCAGAGGATTTTTTAATGATACTTTTATTTCATTTCTAAAATAATTAGTTACTGGACGCTAAAAGGGCGTGGGGGTTCAGTAAACCTTTTCCATACCACATTTTAACATCACATCAGCTGCATCAGTTTGAAGGGAAAAAAAACGGTCACAATATTGATATTATATCATCATATTGCCCAGCCCTATAATGAACTGTAAATTCCTTTACTTCAACTGTTGTTAGGGTTTTTGCAAATTGTCATCATGTGGGCAGAGATCATTTCGGAATTGCGGTTTGGAAAAATCCATGTACGTCAGTAGCAATTTTTCAATCACCGTTTCCATAAAAATGAGTGCTGTATGGAGTTTTTATACACCGTACTCTAATTAGACAATCAGATTGATACTCACATTGTCTCTCCTTTAAATTTCTTATTTAACCCTTGCCTCTTTAAGTGCGTCGTCTTGAAGCAGGCGTTCTTAAACTAGGTGTGGCTTAGCCAGAGGTGTGTGACGCCCGCTGCTACATTTCGAAGCCAGTGCGTGTTCAGACATGCTCATTCAGATCTTTTGTACGTGTGTCAGGGGACCAATTTTTCCATATACATCTCTTTCTGGATTGTATCAATAGTCCTTAATGCAAACTACCACAGTGCATAAATCCGTTAGAGGTAAGTCGTGCTCATTTTGGGGTGCGGGGGTGAGTGTGGTTGTGTATTGTGGTTTAACCCAAGTGTGTATGTGAGTGTGACAGCTTCTTAACCTGATCTGGTCTTTTTCTAATGCAAATGTCACAGGTGAAGTAAAGAGGCACAGCAACTCTAAACTTCAAATCAAATGCCATGGATGCAGGAGTGCTGTGTGTGTGTGTGTGCGTGGGTGTGTACTCTGACCCCTCACATGACTCAGCTCAGCCGATGCTCGGTGCTCTTTGTCCCCTGCCTTACCTTTACATGCACGCACAGGAAATGAGGAAACGTAAGCTGCTTAGAGAGACTCAAAAAGAAATGAACAACACCGTGTGATGTCTTGTGTAGGCAATAACTAAATCAAGCTTACTTCTGGCATGGTGTTTATGAAATGCTTCCCTGAGCTCTCTGGTATGAATGAACTCTGCTAATTTCCATTCTCTCGGATCTCCCATCAGAGCTTTACATTCTCAGGCTGGTCCGACCAGTTCTGAATTTTTATACTAGGTGAGGTAGTGCTGGCGAACAGAGCGATCTCCGTTTGTGTCGCAGTCACTTTGTCCTCAGTAACGATATTTAAGCTTCAGGTATTTGGTGTCCGTTTTCTTATATGCAAATGACCAACGGATCACGTAGTCTGATCATGTACAAGTTAGCGTAAAGCCAGCGTCACAGCCCATCCGGCTACATGTTGGTGAATTGCTCGCTCAGTTGGAGGAATCGCGTTTAAACCGCTAAGAGACAATGGGGAGTGAAGAGTGCAAATGTGAAGACACAGGTGGGTTGTCTGCTTATGATGATATTATCGCAAAGAAATGCAACGTTGGTTTGGATATCTTTGGATACAAAGGCTGAATTATTCCTGCTTTTAACTACGTGTATGCAAGATGGCCGCCGTGCCTGTCATGGCTACTTCTTCAGAAGTTCACGTTCTGCATTCAGGTGGTTAAAAACCAGCGTAAAATAGTAGATCAGTATAGCACCATGTGATCCTGTGTCCACAAGTGACTAGACAAACTCACTGTGTCTCAAATTGCATATGGTTGGGATTGTAAAAACCTCTTTCAACCTACTGAAAGCTCTGTTTTGCATACCATTCTTCTGGATTTTCTAGATTAGTCGATACTTTTAAGTGTAAGTTCAGAGTTTTTGATTTCAGACCCAGTTCATGACGACAGTCACGATGACAGCAGACAGGTCTGAAGAGCAATCAGTCTGTTTAACATTGCTGTGTATGAAATCGCTTACAGTTCCACTTGGAAACCAGATGGACAGGAATGTTTTGGCTCGGACGTTGCTTTTTAATTCTCCAGATGTACACAAAGTATGCATATGACTATGTGAACAATGGCGGGTTGCGTTGCTGCTGCTTCTACACGCTCACACAAAGTCAAAGTATAACCCGGCCTCGTGTCAGACTGAGCCTTACAGTGCTGAGAAAGTCTGGAAATGCTACTTTTTTTTTTTTTTTTTTTTTTAAATAAAAA